CAAAGATCTGCTGATTTTCATCATCTATACAATATCATTAAAAGATTCAGAAACTTTGGAGAAGTCTGTAATCACGGCATGGGGCCAAAAGCCAGTAGTGAATGGCTGTGACCTTCTGGCCCTCAGGCAGCACTGCATTAAAAAGAGACATGATTCTATAGTGGAAATCACTGCACGTGCACAGGGACACCTGGGGGGCTGCCTAGAATACGTGTACTGTGATACATAAAATTAAAGTACAGTCAATATTCTGTCTAGTTTTTGCATGCTACATGTTTGGATGTTCTCTAAAGTTAAGTTTGACTCAGTTACATTTGTATTAACAAATCCTGGTTATGATCCACAATCTCATTCACACGTCAAAATCAAACAAACTATTATTAGCATGTAAATAACTCGCAGCATAATAAAATGCCTTCAAGGTTTACATCTGAAGGCTTGAAAACAGGGGTGGTGCCGAGCATAAAGCTCTTCCAGGACACAGGCCCCCATCACATTTATTTTCTTGAATGTCTGCTGCATGAATTAAATGTGTTAAATGAACTTAACCAACAGGTATCTGTAGTGCTGACATTAACATCATGGGTCATTAATCTGCTCATTAACCAGTGACACATGACTTGCAGGAGACACAGGCGTCAAGCACTCAAACAAACAGGTACTGTGCTCTGGGGGAATACATCATTGAGCTGATCATTAACCACCTTCACTTCACAAGTGGCTGCTTGTAGGTTAGACCCAGTTAGGTAAAATGTTGAGTACCTGTACAGAAACATTCCCAGACATGCAGTAACTTCAGACCCTGCATTTTTCTCTACATCCTCTGGTCACAGTGCAGCAGCAGGACGGAAAATATATCCACAAAACCAGGAGCAGTCGAAAAATTCCGCTTTTACAACGGCACCAGTGGATGTCAGGCAAGTTCACATGAACGCACGACTGCCTGGAAATTATGACCATTCAAGGAAATCCTTAAAATATCACATAATACTTAATTTTGCTAGAAAAAAGTCTTATGAATGAGATTTTGCTGTGTGTATAAGCCAAGTTACATCTACATAGAAATACTAGAACATATGCTCACCTCATATTTTGAGCTTTAGGTCACGTCTAAGATGAGAATTCATTGTTGTAAAATTGTAGATCAGTCAACAAACAGGGAAAAGCATCACACAGGCTCTTTAAAAACACTCATGTTTTTATGCTGTAGAAGTCTGGCCCTGTACTGCACTTTTCTTTGAATTTCACACTATTATTTGTCAAGCAGCCCATTTGATTTGTCAAATTTAAACTTTTACAAGTAAATCTCTCAACAAATCATGAATTTAAAAAAAACACAATCTAATCTTTTTTTTTTTTTTTTTTTTTTTTTTTTTTTTTACTTGTAAGGCCCCATAATATATTACTTCAAAACTGTATTGTGCAGTGGACGGCCGGTGGTCACACCCCTGTCTCCATAGACACTGACAGCTTCCTCCACATTTTCCCTTCCTGCCTCAGGTTCATCTGTTTGTTAAATGTGCATAAAACAAACATCATTTGGACTGTGGGACAAGAGCATCAAATATTGTTATTGTCATTAAATGCAGAATGAATCGTCCAAAGTTAACATAGACCACTACATTTGGTATATTATCAAATCAAATTTCATTTGTATAGCACCAAATCACAACAAAAGTCATCTCAGGACACTTTACAAAGTAAGGTCTAGACCTTACTGTTATCACTATTATTACAGAGGGAAAACCCAACAGATCCCCCTTGAGCAAGCACTTGGCGACAGTGGGGAGGAAAAACTCCCTTTAACGGAAGAAACCTCCGACAGAACCCGGCTCATGGTGGGCGGCCTTCTGCCTCGACCGGTTGGGGTGAGTGGATAGAGGAGAGAGAAAAGATGAAAAGCAGCAAAGACACAACAAACAATCAAACACTGGTCAGGTTGATGTGGATGTAGAGAAACTCAGAGCATCATGGGGCCCCCCAGCAGCCTAGGCCTATAGCAGCATAACTAAGGGAAGGCTCAGGGTCACCTGATCCAGCCCTAACTATAAGCTTTATCAAAAAGGAAAGTCTTAAGTCTAATCTTAAAGGTAGAGAGGGTGTCCGCCTCCCGAACTGAGACTGGGAGTTGGTTCCATAGGAGAGGAGTTTGATAGCTAAAAGCTGTGCCTCCCATTCTACTTCTGTGGAAAGCAGAAGCATATTATGCAACATTCATTTTATTTCATGTAGTACACCAATAAATAGCGTTTTAAGAGCAGTCCAACTGATTACATGCATTGATGGACAGAGCCCTAATTTACCTCACACTGAACATCTGCACCTGGTTACGTACTAGCTGACTAAGCTAACGTTAGCTTGTTTACCAACTACAACCAGGTACATGGATTGCTGCGTGTAACCTGCAGTGCACAGAAATCCTAGATCAAGCAAGAGTGGAAAAACATTTTGCTTTCAAAACTAAAATAGATGGTCTCATTTCCCAAACTTACAAAGTGCTGTTAAAGAAGAGGTGATGCAACGCGGTCGCAAACATGCTCCTGCTCCAACATTTTGGAAATACTCAGCTGGCATTACATTTGCAATGAGCATATGTTTTTCAAACAAGCACACAAATAGAATTTCTCAGTATTAATATTTGATATGTTGTTTTTGTATTATTTTTCAGATTTTAAGGGGTTTGTATTCAGTTTTTATTTACATTTTACACAGCAACTTTTTTGGAAATGGGGTTGTGATTAGATTTTTCAGATAGTATTAAAATTGCAAAAAAGAAATAAATGTGCTGGGTAATATATTTAACATGGCTGAGGATACACGAGACCGTCCTTCACCAAAGTTTTTGTGTAACAAAATCAAAGGTAAACATTTCTATTGCTTGTGTTCGTCATACTGCCTTCTAGTGAGGAATTCCTAAATCAAAGGGAACTCGGATGCACTGACAGAACGAAGGCTGCTTCTGTGTCGCTGCAGTCACAGAATCAACACGGAAACCAGATGACAGCTTGGGCTGGACGCCAGAGGTCACAGTCAGGGCAGGGCGTCAAACTAAATTGTGCTAAACGCTGGTATCAACTGCCTGGGCAAACTTCTTATTGACTTATTCTGAGATCAAACAGTCATGATGTGGACCTTTCAGCACTGAAATAATAAGGTCAGATACACACTTCCATGCATTCTTTATTCCATTATAAGCATTAAAACATCCATTGTGCCTTCTTTTAACACCCAACACTGTGTTTCATGGTATATTTAAGGCTGGTTTCATCTGTTTTACACACTACTACAAAATCTGATCCTACTGGTATCTGCTTTTCATTTGCATATTGTGAATCCAGTGTTAAAATCAACAAGACTGCCCTGTGTAAGGGCTAGTATGTATAGAGAAGATACTGTAGTATACATTACATTATCATACAAACCTGCTTCAGAGACAGTGTAAATCTATCAACAATTAAGACTGGAAAACCTCGTAAAAATGTCAGTATCAAAACAATAACCAGGACTAAAGCAGGGTCTTCATTTCCTTTAAAAAGAGAAGCTACAGGGAATATACTAGAGATGATCGAAGGCTTGTTATCCAGAAACACCGGGCCAACATTAGCTATAATCAGAAAACACTAACACCCAACTGACAAACCACCTCACAGCAATATACGGATCAATGAAATGATCATCACAAACACAATCCTTTGAAAACATTTTCAGCATTTGAGTTTTTGACTTCCTTTTTCAGTGTAACTGTTTAACTTCATGTGTAGTGTTTTACCTTTTCATTTGCAGAGAAGAGCTAATGATTTAAATCAAGTTGATGCAAACTGACATGTTCATACCTATGAGAGGTGATCTGCATGCACAGCATTCCACTTCCCCTGCATGGTTCTTTCAGATGTCTTTGGAGTTCCAGCTCAGCAGACAACAATGTTGATAAAAGAGGGCATCCCTGGCTGATTCTCTCTCACTGGGGGCAGAAACAAGTGGATGAGAAAAGGGGGTGACTGCGAAAAGGGGGTGACCGCAGTCAGGCTGAATTTGATTTTAGTACCGTGCTGTCCTTTCAGTATTCCTCAAACCTTCTGGCTTTAACAGTGACTGACTGACTCCCCCGGTGAATAGCAGCAGCTATCAGACCCCCTGAAGACCACATAGTCAACAGGAATGTCAGGGTGAAATGTTTATGAGCTTAAGGCTTCATTTGTAGTGTCAAAGGACTGATAAATTAAGTGTACACCCAAACCCAGCAACATGTTCACCTTGAATACCTTCACATGGAGCAGAGTTCACAGTTGAGTATCTCTTGTCTGCAGGTAAACCCAACACCATGCCCCATGGCTTTAGCATACGGTACTGAATCAAGAAGTCCTGTTTCAAACAGCTGTCAAGTGTTATTAGCACATGATGTCCAGTTAACAGTATAGCCCTGACAGCTGCTCCTCTCTTCTACTGAGGTTAGCTTCTAGCACAGTACCCAACATTTGGAATATTCATTACCATGTTGTGTAGCAGCAAACCTGGTGTGACACAATTTGCATATGCAGTTACATGCACAAAATAAAAGAATAAGACTGTGGATTATTTCAACAATGGCTTCAGCAGGTGATGAGATGTCAAGATGTGATTGTTTTCTGCAGCACAGGTTGATAAAAGCAGTTTACAGAATGACCTGTTGAGGCATTCTCCAAGTCATTTAGGTCCTCTGGTAAATTCAGGCTCACAGCGCTCTAAACCATCACCTTCCATTGTGTCTTCTTGTACAACTACTGTGAATAAGCAAATCAGTTCTAAGTGTAGTCATTTTATTGGAATTAACACCCAAGGTCAGGTTCCTAGGCTGAATTCATCAGTGGCTCCAAAGGACTTGAGTAATTGTGTTAAGGGCGGCATACTGTAAAATGCTTTATCTTCCCCAGTGTATGAGAGAGTAGCATGCTTCAGGACAACAAAGATCACAGCTACAAAGGCCAGATGTGCAGGGGTGCACTCAGGTTAACCTATTACCTGAAAATAGCTGCACGTTAAATGTGCACATTTATTAATTTTTTTTTTTTTTTTAAATTGACCCTGAATGGTAACATAAAAAAAACAAAACAGAAAAAGTAAAAAAACAACAACAACAACAACAACAAAAAGCTTCAATTGTATCTTGAGGTGCAAAATCAATACTTCTTCACCTGGTAGAAAAAAAAAACAAAAATCAGGATTAAACAAAGACTCTCGGCCAAAAGCAAAGCAAGGATCATAGGGGAAAAACGGAGGGAATAAAAAGGAAACATGGCCGAGTGACACAGTTGGAGACACTGGCAAAGAAAAGGTGAGGGAGACAGAAACAACAGAGGAAGGGAAGGAGGGTGAGAGCTGGAGTGGGACATGAGTCCAGACTGAGCAACGAGTGCAAATGCTCGTCTAGGCCCAGTGTCAGTGGCCAGTTAGCCAGTAAGTCCACATGTCAGAGCAGCAGCTAGATTTTAGGGACTATACGTGTTAAGCCAAAGCTGTATGTCCAGCTGGGAATGGTCTGTGCTCAGCTGCACCTCAACTATGTAAGACCACTTCTACTTCCAGTCCACTACACACTCCCAGCCTGAAATGGCTCCAAGGACAGGGGAGAACAGCATGGCCAGTTTGCTCCAGTCCTGCCCCAATGCAAAGAAGTTGAGAGATGACAAAGAGAAGGTTTCTTGAGTGTTTTGAGATGAATCCTGGCCTGAAAGCTGAGCTCCCCTCAGGAGGTGGGAAGCTCAAAGGAGATAAACTGCTTGAGTCTCTCCAGGTACTGGGTGTACAGTTCAATGTCATTGTGACCAGCTCCCTCTACCCACAGCGGCTCGACGGCACGGGGGCAGCGCTCATACATGGCCAGGCCGTGTGAGAAGTCGATCACCTCGTCCTCCGTACCATGGATCACCAGCACTGGGGACGTCACCTTGGCCACCTTGTCAATACTGTGGAAGGGAAAAACAATTAAGTGCAAGAATGAAAGACGCAGCACTGAACTGTGACAGAAGGAAATGGGTTAGTCCATGGAAACCTTACAAGTAGTACAGGTAAGTAAGTAGTACAAGTGGTCACAGAATTGACTTCCGGTGTGTGGACGCTGGCGCGTTTTGCTGCCGCTACTCACGGAGGCTCTCTTTTTTTGCTCTATGTAATTGTGGTTTCTCTTGTTGTTTTATTCACGATGTGGCTCTATAAGCTCTATAAGCTCTTTGTCTGGTTGGCACTAACTTGGATTTTGCTGTCACTCGCTTACCAGCCTGTGGTAGGCTTGATCCAATACTCGGCAGCTGAGCTCCTCCGGCTACGTGGTCAGCTGTTTGTGCCCTCGCCAGCAGCGCTTTACCTCCACCCTGACATTGCTCTTCTGCCTTGTCGAAAGTATATTCACCGTGGTTCCCAGCACAACTTCCAGCATGATAACTCTAAGGTAATTACCTCTCTATGGTCCTCTTCTCGCCATCCAACCAGAGGCACTCGTCAGGCTGTGGAACACAGTGTGCTGGCCAACCTAGCCAGGGTGGCTAGCCCCTCCGACATTCATCACAGCTCTGCTAAATTTGGCCTCCTTAACATTCGCTCCTTAACTAGCAAGGGCCACATTCTCCGGGACCTTATCACTGACCGTAAGTTGGATTTTATGTGCCTCACTGAAACCTGGCAACAGCCAGGGGACTTCTCACATCTTAATGACTCTTCTCCTCCTGGGTTTGTTTACATTTGTCAACCCCGTGACTCAGGTCACGGGGGAGGGCTTGCATTAATCTATCGTGACAAGTGGAAAGTCCAGCCAGTATCTGTACCCATGTTCAGCTCATTTGAATCCCTTGTTTGCAAACTTACTGGCCCTTCTCCTATTATTGTTGCTGTAATTTATCGTCCTCCTAATTCACATTCTGGCTTTTTAAATGACGTTTCAACCTTCATCGCTCACCTAGTCACTTTGTCACCAAATGTAATACTACTGGGGGACTTGAATATACATATGGACAATAACAACCTTCCTCTGACCAAAGTTTTCTCATCATGCCTTGACATTTCTGGATTTCAACAATTCATAGATTTTCCCACCCATATTAAAGGATATATCCTGGACCTAATATGTTGCTCCGGGCTCACTCCATCCAACTGTTCAGCTGATGAACTCCCCATCACAGATCATTTCTTCATTTCATTTGATGCTGCAATCTGTCTCTCCAGTACGAGGCCGTCTTGTCTCATCTGCTTCCGGAATATTAAGAACATTAACATGGATGCCTTACTTTCCAGTCTTGACTCTTTTGGGACCTCTGTTGGCTCTTCTTCCCCCAAGGAGCTTGCTACATTATATAACAATACCCTTTCTAATATTCTCAACTCCCTTGCCCCAGTATAAACCTGGACTGTATCATTCTCTCACACTGCCCCCTGGTTTACCCCTGAACTCCGGACTATGAAAACCAAAGGCCGCCAACTTGAGCGCCTCTTCAGGAAATCTGGACTCTCCATTCACAGGGATCTGTATAAAGCCCATATTTTACACTATAAGGACTCCCTTTTATGTGCCAAATCTAACTACTACTCCGGCCTCATCTGTGCCAACACTGGTAATACTAAGTCACTTTTCTCTCTCCTCCAACCCCGATTCCTTTCCCCCTCACTTTTACTCAACTGATACCTGTAACTCTCTCATGCGGTTTTTTGCTGAGAAAATCCAAAATATTCATCAGCAACTCCACCCAAATACTCTACCCTCTACCTCTTTTGAACCCTTCCCCCCAGGTCAGTTTTTCTCTGCTTTTCACCTCCCGGATGCTTCTGATATTGCAGACCTTATTCATTCATCAAAATCGTCCACATGTGTGCTTGATCCTCTCCCCACCACTTTGGTTAAATCCCGTCTTCCTTCTCTACTTTCACTCATAACTGCAATTATCCATTCATCACTCACCACTGGATCTGTTCCCACACAGTTTAAAATCACTGTTATCACCCCAATCCTGAAAAAACCTGGTCTCAATCCAAATGACTTTAATAATCTTCGCCCTATTTCTAATTTGCCTTTCATCTCCAAAATCCTGGAAAAGACTGTTGCTACTCAACTTCATTCCTACCTAACTCAAAATAACCTCTATGAGCAGTTTCAGTCAGGTTTTCGCCCTCTCCATAGTACTGAATCTGCTCTCATAAAAATCACTAATGATCTTCTTTTGGCAGCAGATTCTGGCTTACTTTCTCTTCTTATCCTTCTCGACCTGAGTGTTGCCTTTGATACCATCTCTCACTCTATCCTTCTCACCAGATTAGCTTCTATTGGAATCACCCACACCACGGGAAATTGGTTTAAATATTATCTCTCTGGCCACACTAAGCTCATTAAACTTCAGTCTTTTACCTCCACTCCTTCCCCTGTTTCCACTGGTGTGCCCCAGGGCTCAGTCCTGGGGCCCCTTCTGTTCATCATATACCTCCTCCCCCTTGGCTACATATTCCGTAAATACAACATTTGCTTTCACTGTTATGCGGATGACACCCAGCTCTACCTTTCTTGCAAACCTAATTCTACACTCCCACCTCCCTCCCTTACAAACTGCCTGGTTGAAATAAAGTCTTGGTTCTCAAATAATTTTCTCAAACTGAATAGTAATAAAACTGAATTTCTTTTAGTAGGTACTAAATCAATTCTATCCAAAGTAGACGGTTTTTCAATTTCCATCGATTACTCTTCTGTTTCCCCCTCCCCTCAGGTTAAGAGTCTGGGTGTTATCCTCGACAGTACCCTCTCATTTCAGAGCCAGATTAATAACATTACCCGGTCAGCATATTTTCACCTACATAACATTAATCGCCTCCGTTCTTTCCTCACTTCTCGTACCACTGCAATACTCGTTCACAGTTTGGTCACTTCTCACCTTGACTATTGTAACTCTCTCCTCTTTGGTCTCACTCGCAAATCCCTCCATAAACTTCAACTGGTTCAGAACTCTGCTGCCCGTATCATTAGTAAAACCTCTTCTATCCATCACATTACCCCTGTTTTGAAGCAGCTTCATTGGCTGCCTGTGCTGTTCTGAATTAATTATAAAATTATTCTTTACACCTTCAAAGCTATTCACGGTCTCGCACCCTCGTATCTGTCTAACCTTATTCATATTGCCATTCCCTCCCGTTCTCTCCGTTCTGCCTCTTCTCTTCATCTTGTTCTTCCCTCTGCCCGCCTTATCACTATGGGGGGCAGGGCATTTAGTCGCTCTGCCCCCCGGCTTTGGAATGCTTTACCTCCCGACATCCGTAACATTGACTCTATTCAGCATTTCAAATCCAGACTCAAAACTCACCTGTTTAGTGTTGCCTATCCCACCTAATCCTCATTTTTTGTCCTTCGGTGTGCACGGTTCTGTTGGTCAACTGGTAGCGGAACCTTTGATGGACTGCTGTTTCCTGCCTCTGCGGTAAACCATACTCATTTCCTGTTTTCTGTACCTGCACTGCGGCTATATTCGTGTCTGTGCTGTACGGCGACCTTGAGTGCCTAGAAAGATGCCTTTATAAATAAAATGTATTATTATTAAGTACCTGTTGGACTGCATTACGTTGATCACCACACACTCTAAAAATGTTTAGTCTCATTGTGGTGGAAACCACAGGCTTTCTAAATAAATAGTATGGCAAGTTGGAACAAAGACTGTCAATAATTAATAGTTTAGGAGACAAGGACGTGTGATGGAACAGTCAGAAAATGTATTGTATTCTGCTGGAGTGTGCTAGGGCCTTTTATGAACCAGACGTACACACGATGTGCTTGCTGACCGGCCACAGATTATAAAATGAACACGCAATCAGCACAGTGATGAACTGAGCTGTATCATTGACAGCCAGCTGCTTTGAGTATAAACAGATTTTCAGTGACAGTAAACATATGTGAAAGAGTAGGTGCAACATGAGTGCTACAGTGAACAACGTACTCCCATCATGTAGACAAGTTATGCATATGATTGTGTTTAAAACCAGAGTCCACTGTGGGGAGTCTCTGGTAACTTGTTTCATATTTATTTGTTGATTTTGTTCATTTACTCTTGAAGGAAGCTTCGCAATTTTATATTTTTATATTGTGTTTAATTTACAATTAAAGTAATTTGTGTTTGCTTAATCTGTTCTTTCAACTCTTGATTAGGGCTGTATCTGACTAAGAATTCTGTCAGTCGACCAAGGTCGGCTCTTCGGTGTGTCTATTTGTTCATTGTCTTTGTCTCCCTCTCTCTCTCTCTCTCACACACAAGCGTGCATATATAGCCTATACTGTCAGGAAATCAACTGATATGAATTTCACTGATGACTTCAACCACAAACATCACGATTCAAATGCAAAAGTGACAGGAACATATTCTGAGCATTTAAAAACGAATAAAGACAGTTGCATATGATGATTTAAATTGCCGATATCCAACGGGCTGCCGTATGGATTTGTCAAAATAACGAGACAGGCAGCACACTTCTACTTCTGTTGAAACAATGCTCTTATAGTAAGTTTTTTCTTCTGAGATGTGGTTAGAACCTAGTTTACCAACAGGTTTAAACTTCTCCCATCAGTTAACCACAGCCATGTTGTTACTCTGTGTTTGATGTACGCCAGCTTGCACTGCGAACAATTCCTCATTCAAATGTTTTCCCCACTTCGTTTAGTTAGTTCCGTACTCCCGTCCGGATGGATGCATGTTGCAGAAATAGCTGGTAAACAGCTGTGTGGTGCACTTTAAGGGAAATGGGTTAGCACACCGGGCTCATATGACATTATGCAAAACCAGCCACATCGTCATGACAGTCTTTTCTCTTTTAAACGTAGGCCACAATGTTTAAAAACACTTCTAATAAAGTACAAATCTCACCTTTATGTGGCTTGTCCTAGTGGACTTTGTTGTCCTTTTCTCTGTGTTCAGCAATTTGCTAAATAGTGTAATCCAACCTTAAT